TTGCTGTAGCAACAAGCAGTGACGAAGAACACTTAAAAAGTACTTGCAAAATAATATTTAAAACTAGCAAGGACCCAAAGCTTAGATGAAACTTTGTTCCCGATGATCTTGTAAACTTCTCTAGTTTGACTGGTTTCTTACTAAACAAAAGATTACCCCTCATATATATACTAGCAAAGGGGAATCAAAAGTACAAAAGGTTAATAACCATTAACCAATGGATAATACAAAAGATGCTCAAGTACAAAAGGTAAGGTATCTTTCTGTGGCATCTTCTATCAAAATCATCTGCCAACAGTACTAGAAGATGCCAGCTCTAAAATTTGACTTTTCAAAATATCCAACGAGATTGAGCCAGCTGTGCCAATATCCAGTCAGCAACAACAATGCTTATGTCAGCATTTCATTCACCAAATACATTGTAACGAGATTTGGTTTATTGTGATGTCTGGGTCCTGCACCTATTCTATCTTTTGAAGGTCATCGTTACTTTATGCTATGTGTTGATCATCGTTCTCGTTATATGTGGATCTATCTATTGGCTCAAATATCAGATGTCTACAACACCTTCAAAGGTTTTCTTACCATGGTCGAAAGACAATTTACTATAAACGTCAAAAACGTCCAAACTGACTTGGGGTGGTGAATTTCGAAATCTATCTCCCTTCTTCTCATCCCTTGGCATTGTTCATCGCCATTCATGTCCTCACACCGGTGAGCAAAACGGCCACGTGGAACGACACAATTGACATGTCGTTGAAACTGGTCTCACTCTGCTTGCTCAATCCAGTATTCCTCAATGTTTCTCGCATACGCTTTCGACACCACTGTATACCTAATCGATCGCATGCCTTTGCGAACCTCAGCAAACAAATCACTGTTCGAACATCTCTTCAAACAATCTCCCAATTACTTCTTTCTTTAGGTCTTCGGTTGTCAATGCTTTCCTCACCTTTGACTATACAACCATCACTAAATTGACTTTTGGTCGACCCCTTGCATCTTTCTTGGCTATAGTCCTTTCCTCATGGCCATCGTTGCCTTGACCTGTCGATCGAGCGTTTATACATTGCTCATCATGTTGCTTCAATAAAGACCACTTCCCCTTTGCTATTCCTACTGTCCCGACTTCCTCACCTACATCATCATGTCCCTACACCTCGATATCAATTCACGTGGTAACCGACAAGACTCCACCAGTCGCTCCATCTCCTGATCCGCCCAGTTCACCACATACTCTCTCGCCCATCTCTCAGTCTTCTCTTTAACCAACTTCCCCTTTATGCCATGATCCAGATACCAGTGGTTCATCTCCATTATCATCCACTTCCTCTTCTCCATCACCACCACTGCCTCCTAGACAACATCCTCGTAACCTCCGGCCCAACCCCAAACAACGGGTTCCCTTCAATCCCTCAACTAATCTTACCACCACCTCCACTACACCTATTGAACCAATTGGTTTACCATTGTCAACAAATCTCCTGAGTAGTGCAAGCTATGGCCGAGGAGTACCCCGCTCTTGTCAAAAACGGGACGTGGTCTCTAGTTCCTCATGCTCATGATACTAACGTTGTTGATTGTAAGTGGGTTTACATGATAAAGCGGGACAAGACAGGTGCCATCACTCCTTTCAAAGCGAGACTCGTCACAAAAGGTTTTCGACAATATAGCATTGATTTTCACCAAACCTTCAGTCCTGTTGTCAAGACCACTACCATCAGGGTTGTTTTATCGCTTGCGGTTTCTTAGAAATGGTTGCTCAGGCAACTTGATTTCAAAATGCTTTTCTTCATGGGCACCTCACTTAAACATTCTATATGAAACAACCTCCAGGCTTTATTGACCCACAACGATCAGATCATGTTTGTCTACTCCACAAGTCCATTTACTGCCTCAAGCAAGCCCCACGGGCTTGGTTTCACCGCCTTTCCAAGGCTCTTCATACCCTTGGCTTTGTAGGCTCCAAGACTGAACCTATACTGTTTATTTCCACACTCCTTTATACATCTTAGTGTATGTTGACGCCATCATTCAACAACTTGGTTCAGCTTTTGCGATAAAGGATCTAGCCCCTCTAAACTACTTCTTGGGTATTGAGATCGTCCCTCAAGGACCAGACATCATCCTTTCTCAAAGCGGTACATTTTGGAGCTCTTACAACGAGCATGCCTCTTAGACTCTAAGCCCATCACCTCGTCCTATTTGCTATCTTTAGCTGACAGTCCTACTTTTTCTGACCCAGTTAAATACAGACAGACAGGTTGTTGGTGCTCTTCAATATGTTACTCTTTCTCGGCCAGATATCGCTTTTGCAGTTAATAAAGTGTATTTGGGTTCTAACCTTGTATTTTGGACCGCTCACAAACAAAGCACTGTTTCTCGATCTTCTACTAAGTTGGAATACAAAGCTCTGGCTGATACTGTAGTTGAACTTACGTGGCTTCAAGCTCTCCTTCATGAACTTGGCATTCGTGCCCCATCAGCTCCTATCTTGTGGTGTGACAATCTAGGTGCAACCTATCTATTTGCAAACCTGGTCTTTCATGCACGAACAAAGCATGTGGAAGTTGATTTTCATTTTGTTAGAGAAAAAGTTGCTCAAGGAGATTTTCGTGTACAATTCAATTCCATAAAAGAGGAGATTGCTGATATTTTCACGAAGCCATTGTCGACTCCTAGATTTCTATTCTGACGATCCAAGCTACGGGTTACCCGTCCTTAACTTGTGGGGGCGTATTAGACTTGATGTACTTAAGTGTAATTAGTATAATGTGGAGGGCACTCCTATGTAATTAGTATCTCTATATATAGAGACCGATTGTAATTAGGTTACACATCAAATCAGTACACAAAATCCTTGTAGCTTATCTTAATCATAGACAATAAATCATAAGAAAGATTGGGAACATAAAGAACGGAGTTGAGGATAATATCCTTTGAAATTATAACGGAACCAATACCCTTTACTTCCGATAGGAGACCATCTGCTGTCCAGATTTCAACACCAGCATTATTAGGTTGCAGATTTCGAACATAATGACATTCCCTGTCATATGATATGTTGCTCCGGAGTCAATGATCCAATTTTCTGCACTTAGTTGAGCGTTTAATGCGTTAGGTGGATGGGCACTTTGGGCAACCGCTGCCGCACTCTTTCTTCCGAGTAGTGACTGGAAGTTGCTTGTAGCATCTTTTGCAGAGCCTCAGATTGTTCCTTAGTGAATGGACTGTTGTTTTCTGTGCCTGCAACATGTCCAGATGATCGAAATAACTGCCTCCCTGGGGTTCTGTGTATTTTCCAGCATATGTCCTTCGAGTGACCAGGGATCTTGTAGTGATCACACCAAGGAAGACTTCCAGATCGTTGTCTGTCAGTGTTGTTGTAGTTTGTTCCTTGCTGCTGTCTGGTACTGTGGTTGCATCGCCTTGCTGCAAGAGCTGAATTTTCAGAAGTTAGTTCAGTGTTTCGAGGTCTCAACATTACCTTTTTCCCAGTTTCTTCTCGTCTGACTTCCGAGAAAGCCTCTTTTGTACTCGGCAACGGTTTCCAGCTTAGAATACTCCCACGAACTTCATCAGGGTTATGATTTAACCCCAGTAAAAACTTGTAGACCTCGTCTTTTTCTTGAATTTCTATGTACTGCTTCTGGTCATGTGTGCTCCCCCACGACAGATCCTCCAAAACATCCAGTTGCTGCCAAAAACGAGTCAGTAAGTTGTAGTACTTCGTAACAGTTCATTCTTCCTGTCGTAGATCATGTAGAACAGTTCTGATTTCAAAGATTGCTGAGGCATCGTCTTTGTTGGAGTAGGTATTACGGACCGCATCCCATATCTCCTTGGCCGTCTTGTAGTACATAAATTTCTCACCAGTTTCATTGGTCATAGAATTCAATAACCAATACCTTACCATGTTGTTTTCAGTCTTCCAAGTCCGATACTTGGGATTTTCTGTTTCTGGAACAGAAATAGCTCCAGTCAGGTAATTTTTCTTTCCTTTTCCACTTATAAACATCATCACTGAGTGTGACCATTGATTGTAGTTATGGCCGGCAAGTTTGTGCCCGGTAATCGGAATGTTCCCACCTTCGATTAGAGTGGGTGTTGTATTTGACATGGATGTCTGTCGAGAACTCTCGGTGGAGCTGCTGCTTTGGACTTCACTCTTTATGGCTGTTCTCCCATATTTAACAATCAGGGTGATGATTTAGAATAAGTGGTGGATCAAATCTGCTCTGATACCAGAGTAGAATTGGCAGAAATCATAGTTCTTGATATATCATCTTTTTTATTATGTTACTTCAAATACATAAAGCAAAATATATATACAAAAAAATCTGAACTAACTTCCACGAAAATAGGATCAACTAGGCTACTTCTAAGCTATCTCTAACAACTAGATCAACAGAACCATTCACGTAAAAGTAGATTTTCGTCGTGGTAGAAACTTTTTGTGGTCTGCCATTCTACGTTTTCGTATATGAGTACATGACTGAACATTTGCTTGCAATCTTGCTTAGCTGTGGAGGACTTGGACTTTGTTATATTGTTTGTAGTTAGTTGGGCATGTCTAATGTATATAATTCAACTTGAGGAGTGTTAATTATTGTTAGTTCCTTGTTATGCCTCCACTATCTTTACTTTACAACTGGTTTCCGGAGTTGCATATCCACAGCCTACTACTCGCAATGTTCTTAAGTTGGACTCTTCTTCATGGTAATATATCAGCTTTTACAGGAAGGTGCTGCAATATTAATTTTGTTTTCGGTGGTCACTAGCCCTCATTCTTTTTCAGTTCCCTTCTCCATTTGCTTGTCTAAATGTGCATGTTCTTTCTGGATTATTATTCTCTTGTTGATTAATGGAATACCCAAGATTTTTGGGAGCCCTTTTACACATAGTATCAGAGCACGGGTGATGGGGCTCTTGATACTACAGACCAAAATTAAATCCTCTTTAGGAAGACCGTAACCTGACACTGTTGCTTATCTCTCTAGACACTTGTGGATGCTCTCGAAAGTGGCCAGCATACTCCTACTGTTTTGCAGTCTTTGGGGTGCATGGCTCAGCATTCTGTTTCTGCATTTGAATCCCATGCTGAAGAGATCACTCGATATATTGTTGAAAATATATTTCTAGTAAAAGAGGTAATCTTTTTATTTCATCCTACCTTTTCCCTCTAGTCAATTTACCAAAAAGTATGCTATAAATTCCTCACCATAGTTCTTTTCTCAGGGTGTAATGTTAGATGATCTAGTTTCATCCCATGATACATCTGAAGGAAGTACCTGCAAATTAAAGGTGAGCACTCTTTGCAATAGTTCATTGCTGCTTTTTTTTTTATGATCTTGATTATAGAATTATGTATATAAGATGTACCAATGATACCATGCGTGTTTAGTTAACAAGCAAAAGCTTAAAACAGGTAATCTCTAGAAAGTGTTTACTTTTTCAGGGGCTAAAATGGTATGTGGTTGTGAACTTTATTTATCTAATATGCTCTCTTGTGGATTAAACCACAGCTATAAGCCTATCTTCCCAACATTAAGGACTTCCTTTGCAAAGATAACCCACATTATAAAAATTTCCATTGTAGACACCCTTAATGTGATCATTGCGAACATTTCTGTCTCCACAAGGTATTATAGACATCTATCCTTATGTATTTTATTTCTTAAATAACCAAATTTATCCTCTTTATTTAATTAATGGAATTGAAAATCATTTGAAAAGGAAGTGAATAATCAAAGGGAAAGAACAAATGAAAAGGGGAGGAAATAAAGAATACAAAAATGAAGATTCAGTAAATAAACATGTCAATTATCTTCGTTAGTTCTCTTCACTAGCCGCAGCTTGTCCATCATCATCAACTCACGATCACAATGTGCTCTCTTTTAACCACTATCCCAGCTTGTGATCTATCTCATGTTCAAATACCCGATCATGTTTCCTCCTTTATCATGATACATACAAGGAGGTCTCTATGGACTTAAGAATCTGAAAAATCAATAACCATAGATGCTACATCAAGTTGTTGGCTTGTTGGCTGTTGCTTTATACTTCGAATTACCACACGTATTTATCATTCTTGCTGTTTTCCATGTGTACATTTAGTTAATTACATGTACATATTGTATATGTATATATCTTTTATAATCTTAAGGAGTTTTTTTCTTTATAGCTTTTAAGTAGAGGTTTTTTTAGCACAGTCCAAGCTTTAGACCATTTTAGTGTTTGCACCATTGTACTACATAATTTATAAACATCAGTTTTATTAGATACGTCTCCAAGAAATAATAAATTTGTTTCTTGGATTGTTGGCTAAAATGAATCAGCTCACATTTTGTTCTCTATGGCCTTCTTTTAATTTGCTTGCTTGGTCTTAGTGTTGAAGATTACTCTTCTGAATTTCATCTGAGTTCAATGACTTTCTTTCTATTTGCTGGGGTTGGCTGATTGGACTTCCCATCATCATATTGTTGGCTTGTTGCTAAAATGTGAACTGGCCACCATTTATTTTGATGGGTTCATGAACATGTGGCTTGGTTTGTTCTTCAAGGATTTCTTCTGCTTTATGGAGATACTTGGATTTGTACAGATTTGTCTTTGATACATGGTGTGGTCTACTATTCAGTTTATATGTTTTCACCTCTGCTGCATAGTTCTTAACCAACTCTTCTTGGATGCTTAGCTTGATAGATTCCATTTGTTTCTGCTTCTTTATGTTCCCTGCAACTGATTGGGCTGTTTCCTCTATTGCCACTCATGCAAAAGGAATTGCTGCCTGCTCTGCACTCTTGTTGTTTGTGTCATTCAAACATTGGAAGGGAAGGAATGTGTTCAAGTTGTTCGTTATGATATTATATTTTTTGTTTTGCTTAATTTCTTTCCTGCTCTTGGAACTTAGATCATATCTATGCTTATCAGAGGGCTTATCAAATTTTAAGTGTTCGAGTCTTGTCTCCTCAGGCCAATTGCTCTACTATATATTCATTTTCTTTTGAGTGATGGTATAATGCCTCCTTGGCAAAGCGTAACTCTTTTATCACTTCCAGCCAATGTCTTCCTTATATTTGTGGGTTTGCAGTTGTTAGAGTCCTGCATCGGCTTGACTTGGAGTCTTGGACCAATTCTACTTTATATATAAGGGCTCTTTTGGAGTGTAATCTAGGGGTTTCACATATTCTCACAATAGTTATTGGATATACTAGGAGCCTGTGTGTAGGTTTAGAGGTCGTTTGGTAAATGCTTACCCGGTAAGTGCTTACCTGTTGGAGTCAACAGTCTCACTCACCTTACCTGGTAAGATTCTAGTCCATCAAAATGTCATCGTGCAGTAATTTACTCGGTAACCGCTAATCGTGTAAGATTTGTCACCCTCACTTACCGGGTAAGACTCTCGGTAGCTCTTAACGGGTAAGATTTCCGGTCCTTGCTATGTGCATTCGGTAAGGTAAGTGGCCCAGTAAGCACTTACCGTCAAGTGTTTTGGTAAACGTCCCCTTAGTTCCGCTTAGAAGGTTATTGTACAAGCCAACTCTTGTCTTCACATGAACTAAGCAGTTAACGCAGTCGATTGTGGAAATCGTGGTCGGGGACCGTGATCTGAAATTACGGTTCTAGCGATGGTATAGCGGTGAAAAAAATTACGTTCATAGAATAAATATGAATATATATATATATATATATATATAACTTAATATATTGTATGCCTAGTACATATCAAGTCAAGCAATTCAAACCACACAAGCAACATAGTAATAGAGTTCCTAAAGCTCATAAACGACTAAACGAGCTAATTGCAATCCAGTTGCTAAACTACTTAGTAATTACTGCCCTATAAAAATAAAAATGCCTGACATTGAAACCAAAACAAGTAATGGGTCAAACAAAACAAAGCTATACAATTATCTTTATAAACTGATAACAATAGCGCTATAAAATTATGCTTATAAACTGAAAAACAAAACAAGCACCTTGTCCTCAAGTATTCCAATAATAACTATCACCCTGCTCCATCGATGCCGGTATACTTGGTGAAATCGGCGAGTCGTATCATCACTCCCCTCCCAAATAAGCACCTTGTCCTCAAGGTGGAAGTCTGGAAATTGCTGGCGAATAACATCAAAAGGTTCCCCCGTTGCTTCATATTCCGGTAGATCCCTCCAACGAATTAAGACCTCATGATAGCTAAACCTGAAGCTCCTTTTTTTACTCCCTGCACCTTTTCTGGTTCCAAATCACTTCCATTTCCAATGACCTTTAAATGTGATACATGAAAAACCGGATGGATTGTCGTGGTTTTGGGCAGCCTGGGTTTGTATGCCACCATTCTGATCCTCTCTGTTGCCTCACAAGGCCCAAGATACCTTGGTGCCAACTTTTCATAACGGCGTCGAGCCATCATTTGTTGGCGGTATGGTCTGAGCTTCAAAACATCCAATCCCCCACCTCAAATTGAACCTCCCTCCTATGTGGATCGGCCTTGACCTTCATTGGCTTTCAACAAATGCCCCTTTAATTCTTGCAATATCCGATCCAACTCCTCTAAATATTGATCGACTTCAAACAGAGCCGATTTGGTGCTCCCATAGTGCAGCAAGTGTGGAGGGTCTCAGCCATATGGGACCTTAAACGGAGTGGTATTAGTTGACATGCCGATGTGGTGCTCCCATAGTGTAGCAAGTGTGGAGGGTCTCCTATTGAACCTTAAACAGAGTGGTATTAGTTGTCAAGGGCTACAGAATAACTGAATGAAAGCAATCAAAATAGGATCCTGTAATTCGAGAAACAAGGGTCTCGAATTGGTTTGAGACTAAAAATATATTTCTTATTCCTCTCGAAACACCAAGGCCCTATAAATAGCTAAATAGCTGATCACCAAACAAACCAATGCTGACTAAATTTTTTGAATAAAAGATAACGACTAACAGTTTAATTAAAAGATGATCGTAAAATAAAAGATAAAAGGATAAGAATCCCTATATTAACTATCACCCTGCTGCTGTTGACGCCATGTACTTGGCGAAATCGGCGACTCGTATCAGAAAACAAGACAATAATGTTGCTGGTCGAGTCTGCAGAGTGGAGGGGAGTTCGATTGAGGGGCAGAATTGTAGATTGAAGTAGAGTCTGGAGACAAGTGATCCTAGTGGCGTTGTTTATATACAAATTTGGAATTTATCGAGTTCTTTTAAGTTTTAACCTAATAGAAGTCTTTAAGTTTGGATCAAATAACAGTAACTTGGGTCTCAAACAAAACAACCTACTCAAAATAGCCCAAAAACAAAAAAAAGAGATCACGAAAAAGTATCGCTATTATTGCCTGCTATTTCAAATCAAATAGCGGTCAAATAGCTGTGTTCAGCACCACAATTTGCGGCGCCGCCATTTGCAGACCGCTATTTCCCATTGACCGGTGCTATAGCCCAACACATGGCTTCTCTTTTTGGATAAGTTCTGCTGACTGCTCAATGTTTATTGTGTGAATCGCAGAATTTGTATAACCTAATAGTTTTGACCATGTTATGTCAGTTATTTCGTATGATTTTTGACATATCCCTGTAGCTTCATAAAGTTTGGAATGTTTCCCTTTCAGATTTTTGGGCTTAAAGCACTCGTCAAAAGCTTTTTGCCACATCAATGTGCTGATGTTACTCGTCAAATTGATGAAGTACTTGGCATTATATCACAGATGCTTCAAAGGACCAAGGTTTCTAAAGGCACACTCTCTCGGTAAGGGTTCTCACGGAAATGAACAACATTGAAGTGGTCTTGCTTCTAAATATGATTCTCATGCTCTAATGCATATAGCTATATCCATCCAGGCTTATTTAAAGATCGTACTTTCTATAAGCTGCCAACTTTAGCCTACTTCAGTTTTTGCAATGTATTTATGATATTGTTGCTATCAGACATGCATAGAGGGTCTCATTTTTTCTTTTTGATTTAGTAGAATTATCACCCTGAGCTCTATAGTAAGTAAGCATTCTCATGTGATGCAGTCACATGCCTATTGGAGTAAACAGTCATCCACCACTATTGTGACATGAACATGGGTGATAATGAGTGTAGATGCTAGATATTGTCTGACAAAAGGAATTGATATACTCTTTACAAAGGTGCAACCTGAAGAACATGGACCTAAGCTTGTAAGGGTGCAACAATAAATCTTTAATCCCAAACTAGTTGTATGCCAAAATATCAGGAAATAAAGCTATAAAGTGGTAAATCCCATTAGAGAACATAAAGAAGTGAACACCCAAAAGGAGTCCCTTGATTTTAACATCTACGGTTCAGAACTATGGTTAAAAGCAACCTCACTAGAACTGTAGTGGGATTAGAGAAAACCAGAGCTTGCAGTGTTCGATGATGATGATCTTTCCTTTGCATGCATAATTTGTCAAGTTTAAATTACTGAAGATATGAGAAATTTCTTAATTCTTCCATGCTTTTGTGTAATACAGTGAAACTGACTTGGAGCATCTAAGATTCGCTGCTGCTACATCTGTTCTTCGGCTTTCACAAATGTGGGATCCACATATTTCACCACATATTTACCGCCTCACAGTCTTGACAGCCAAGGTTTGAATCTTTATTGGTTTATTTACATATTAAATATGTAATGAATCAATGTTCTTTTAGCCTAGAACTTAGGATAAAACTTGAGATTGCATGAGAGTTTGTTTTCCTTCAGTAATATTTTAACCTAAATCTGCGTCACAAATTCACTCGAGGATAATCTCAATCTTCCAGCAACAATTTTTGGCAAAAACCGCAACCTATAAATCTAGAAAAATCATAACAGATCGCACATTAAAGCTTAGAATAAATGCCATTTAAAGGAAATGATTGCTGGAAATAACCGGACAGTTATAGAATTTTATAGAGCAGTTACAGATTGGTGAAAGCACCCATCAGAGGGTTAACATCAGCTTAGGGGTGTAAACTCGAGTATTGATATGCTCGACTTGAACTCGATAGACATTTCCCAGGTTCAAGCTCGACTTTCTTGAACTCGATAGACATTTCCCAGGTTCAAGCTCGACTTTGAAAACTCACGAGAAGTTAAAAAACAAAACTTGACTCCAACTCAATAACAATTTTCTAAACTTAAACTCGTTTGAAGCTCGAACCAATCTCAAACTCAATCTCGAACCAAACTAGAATTTGAACTCGAATCAAAAGCAAAGCTTACACGTTAACTTTTATGAAATTCAAGGTCATCTCTTAAAATTTATAAAACTTAAGGGGTGCACCTCAAATATTATCATCAAGAAAACAAGGTTACCAACTTTATTCACCTCCCTCTCCTTTTATAACACCTTTTCACCCTTTCTTTACTATCTCTGTTCCGATGTTAAGAACTTCACCAACACTTTTAAGGTTTTTTTGTGCCTTTTAGTGTACAATTTGTTCAAGTATCTAAAAATATACTACTTTTTCTTCTATTGGTAATTTTATTGATAAATTTTTACATTTTATATTGCAACTTATATTATAAAACTAATTAGATATAAAAAATTGAGTATCTCACGAGCTTTTGGAGTCGAGTATCGGGTAGCTTGACTCGACTCGTTAATATGTCAAGTTGGGCTTAAGTTCGATTTGAGCCTACTCGAGTTTGACCGAGTCCATCAGCTGATCAACCGTTGGAGGTAAACCCATCAATGGGTAAGCCATCAGATGCTGAAGGCATCTGCCACCAATGGCAGTAACACTTCTGAAAGCATGTTCATAAGTGTTTATGATCACTACGGACCAACCACTAATTAACCCCCTCGAACCCACCCGCTGAACGGTCAGCGGGACCACCGACTGGTGACGCGGCCCCTAGGATCTTGCAAGGGGTGCGGCCCCCTTTAACCCTACACGAGTGTGCACTCCGCACCTACTAACCCGTGTTAGAGCATAACGCACAACCCCATCATTCTCTTGGAAAATCCCATTACACAAGATAGCCTGATGATTTCACTAAAATCACCAATGCTACACCCAACATCCGAGATGTTATCCAATTTGATCTATACAGTAATATTTTATCTGTGTTGTTATTGATTGGCCTCTTGATTCTTCTTTTTGCCTTCCGTTATACCCTATATTTTGAAATAGTGCTTTTGACATTGGTGGTAAATTCACCATTTCTGGGCCAACAATCATGAATAAAAGATGTAAGGTATGTTCAGTGTGTATTAGTCGCACAAAATGCTGAATAAATAATAGAATGGATGGATCACCGGCAGATATAAACATAAATAAACATTACCAAACCCTTTTTCTAACAAGGTCCTGATTCCATCTCTTAACAACAGCTCCAGTTAATCCTTACACAACTACCGTAATTGGTAAGTCCTTTATTAAACATCCCTCCACCACTCACATATCTGAGCTATTCAGGAGCATCTATGTAAGATTCAGGTTTTACAGCATCATGCCATTGTTCAGCTTATTGAGCCCAGACATGTGATGATTTATTCCTCGCAGGAGGAGTTGTTTAGGTTGTGGTCTTTAGAGTCCCATAAATCATTACCAACTTAACAAGAAAAAAAGAGAATTTTTGAACTAGAAAAACACTAAAAGAACCGGTAACACAACACATACGATGAAGCTGAACTATACTTCAACAGGGAGAATTAAAAAATAGTTGGCAGCCGTAGATAGCTTTAACTTGCTTTTGTATATGTACTCTTGCTTGTGGCCCATTATCCCCTTCCCAGCCCAAATGTGCGACGTGGTTGAATATTCCAGGTAGAAGTGCAACTAGATGTCCAGACAATCAATTGGTCAGCATCTCGCTTCAATTAGGCTTTTAATTGCCAGAACCTTGGCTCTTTGTTCTTGGAGTACAATACTCTTAACTGTGATCCATATTCAAATTAAAATTCATAATTATGTTGAATAGGCATAGTAAATGTGGGGTTGCTATGTTGTGGCCCTTGTCGTCAATGGCTTTTAATTTGGGGAACTGCATGCCAGGTTGCCAATATGTTGATACTGGCACTTGGCTATAGTTGTAGAGTGATTCTGTGATATGCTTGTAAATCTTTTCCCCTGCGTTATGGTATTTTCTCTTATGTGCTGAAGCTTCATTTTTCAGGATCATTCTTCTATGGTGCGGCAATTGTTCCTCGAGAAAACGTTCAAGCTTTTGAAGAATAATGTCATTCATTGTAAATATTTGTGTGCTTTTGCATTGGCTGCTTCTGATTCTTCAGGAGATTTACAAAATGATGACGTATGTCAAAATCTTGGTTAAATCATTTGTTAATCTTTTTCATGTTTCTTTTTCTAACACCATTCTCTTCTTAGTCGCTAAACTATATGTCAGAAATTATAAGGATTCATCACAGACAAGCTAAAGTGCCCCGAACATCAGCAGTGAAGCGAGATGCAGCTGATGATCCAGTGTGCACAGTGATATTTTTAATTCACATTCTTGCTCATGATACTGAATTTCCCTCCCAAGATTCTGAATATGAAGAGAAATCTGGTTCTTTTTTCAGGTAAGTTAGTGGGTCAACAAAGTGTACTTCATTATGGATATCATACCTTTATGTCCTTTCCTGACCCATCCCGTGCTCTTTTGCAGCCCACTTGTTTTTACCTTGCAGGCACTACTCAACCCTTGTTATGTAGATGGTGATATGAATCGAATCTGTACAGTTGTTTCTAAGTTGTATAATATATTTAAAGCCATCAAGAGGACTGAAGATGCACTTGATGTTCAGAAAACCTCTGTAAGTTTCGTGGTCCTTCTGCATTATTTACTAATTCATTATAATTAAATTCATGTATCTAGCATCTTGCAGAGACTGCATGTTTTAGCTAACTTCGGAGCCAAGTATTTGGTTGAAACAAAAATGAGTGGAACGATGGTGCCACAAACAACAACCAGTGTCTTACTGCCTTCATTGCTATACAGAAAAAGTGATGCCGAGCGAAAACAGGCAAGTGACAAACAAACTGGCAATCTTTAGTTCATTTATGTAAAATTGGGTGCACTATTGTCTGTTTTTTTTCTCTTGTAAGGTTAATACTAAACTGTTTTCCTGGATTCCTTGCTTACAAAATGCTTAGCAGTCTAAAATCTCTTGGCTTCAGATGCATGTTTCTTGTTTCTTTTATGCATTATTTGATAGTCCCTCTCTTTCAACCTTTTTTGGTGGGGTTGAGTTGAGGTCCTAGACTGCATGATGATGCAAATATATAATTTCTACAATCTCTATATATGTTAGTTTGCTAGAGATTGTGCTAAGGGTGGCCGGGAAAGTGTAGAGGATCCTTCAGCTCTTGACGGTCAATTACACAAAAGAAGCAAGAGTCTAAATGCACATAAAAGAAAGCTGCATGAAACTGAAGAGCAGATCATATCTGGTGAAAGAGAGAATCAGGACTTTGCTTCTCCAGAATCAGTTACTTTTCACAGTGAGTTCAACAGAGGGCGAGTATAGTAACCTTTTAATATTAAACTCTCTTTAAATCCGAAAATGTGCTAATTCGTTTTTCTTTCAATTTTGTGGTAGAAAAACCTTCATTTTCTCAGATGGAGGATTCTTTGTGTGGTGACTAATGATGAATTGTGGCAGTAGTATAGGACCTCCCAATACCAGGCTTTGAGAGAATCACCACATAAAGGTATATTTGTGATTCATCCATTTATGATACCAAGTTGTTTTCATTTTATTAAGCTATTTCAATAATTTGTTTTATTTCTATAAGTTGGAGCACTTACTGCCATATGTTGGGCTAGTATTGGGCTTTAATAATAGTCTGTTGGAATGCCTCTCCGTCGGGGGATTTAAAGCAAGGCTTGCCTCATGTAATGGGTACCTTTTACAATTCCATAAATTGAATATGGAAGACCTAACCTTTTCCTTGAATAGTAGAGCCGTTGTTTCTGTGAAGACCTTCTGCTTTTGAAAAGTGTGAGAGAGAAGCACGTATGTTAATTTTTGGAAAGCTGGATTAAGTAAACAATAGAAGCTAAGTACAGGGAAAACATAACCAATGTGCATAAACTACACACACCTATTCTAACCTGGGGTTCTAATAAGCTAACTACCGGCTAAATTAACCCTACTCTCTACTGTCTACCTCTCCAGCTCCCTTCCTTCCATCTTTATCTCCAAGGACTCCTATCATAAGTCATGTCCTTGGCTAAAGCCGCCATGTCCAACCTCAGCCACTCATCCCACATCCTCGGCCTCCCGACCGTCACAATTTCTACCACCCTCATTGGCGCTAACAACGGGAAATTAAACAAAATGGCTCCAAGAAAAAATAATTGACACGCTAAATTGCAAAGTTATGGTCTTCAACAGATAACACGTAGACAAATTCTGAATTGTGGAGCTGATTTTTTTTTATTTCAACTATGTGCTGCACATTGTCAAAACAAAGTTGCAAGCTACATCTTCAGATACATTAATTGAAGTAACCGTTCATCCCATATCTAAACCAACAAAGGAAGCAACCAAGGCAGAAACCAGTATTTGAGACTTTCATGTCATTTGTTTTCCGTCATGTCTCTTCTTTCTCCAGTTTGATACTAATATATTATGTAGAATGATGTGCTTATTCTGATGTTATTTCAGTTAAACCATGATTGCAGTTTTTGACCTCATCTTGTATTCCAACACAATTCAGGTTTACGGAATGAGACCGGAGAAAAGTCTTGCTATGCCAACTTGATTTTGTTTGTTGCTTGTTACTTATCCTCTTTTACAACCACCGGCACCACTTCGTTTATCTTCTAGCTTGGTATACAACTATCTATCTATCTATCTATCTATCTATGTATTTGAAAAGATGTATTATATATTTATGAAGTTTTGGAGTTGACTCAAGATGATGATTTGATTTTACATGCTATGTCCATATTTTCTATTTTTGCTTATTGGAGAATAATGTACAAAACCTCAAGCACCTTGCTATTTGATATGCACATTTTGATTCTAAGATCACTGTAGTGTACATGCCTTCAAGAATCCTAGGGTTTTGGATTGGGTGGAAAATACATATGGTGAGTACAATAAAAACATATAATATTTTATCAAGAAGAACCGAAAATTATGAACTTTGTCGCCATTTTGTAATTTCAAGAAATCAAGACATAATTTACAATTTCTACATAGAGAATAGAGTTGGCTAAGAATCAGTAATGATTGGTCTATGGTAAGAAGATGCTAGCATGCAACCAGTTAGAGATTCACATCTTTAACTAGGCTCATGTAACATATCATAGATAAAACCAAATTTGGGTCTCATCACGATTAGGGCTTGACCGATCGAGCCGGATATGTGAACAAATGTATGAACTAAACATTTATTCAGAGATATAAAATATTACAATATTAAAAGTAATACAAATAACCCTAGATCTAAAGATTGTTAATCAAAATGATTAACTAAAACTTAAGAATCGAGCTTAAAGGAAATAGAGAGAATCGTAAACTGTTGTAGAGTAAAGAATATGAAAAAATGAATCTGAATGAAGCTCAAAGGAAGATGTTATAACTAGGTTTGAGACAACCTGGGATTGAGGTAATTTATACATGTTTATTATGTGGATTATGTGAAATATGCATACCAAAGTAGAAATGCATGAACTATATATGTGAACATGATATTGTGCATGCATATATGTGAAAAGAGGACATGCCATAAATGATTTATACATGTATGCATGTGGTGTGAAGCATACATGAGGTGGTGTTTATTGTGTTTTAATGATTCGGGTGGAATCATTATTTTATTATTGAAAAACTTATATCTTCATGCTTAAGAAATAATGAATTTTATAATGCAAAATCCACCGCCCAAARTTATTTCTATTGGACAAAAGCTTTCACCGCCTTTGAAGTTTTATTATTAAAATCCTCCACCGCCTAGGTGAGGATATTTAAAGAAGAGTTTGATAAGGTTATCCTTATCACTGTCACTCTCTTAGAAAAGAACCTGTGTGTGAGTTAAATTGTTCTTGAAGACTCTGTGCTAAGATTAAAGCTTTTGCTGTGTGATTACCTTCAAGAAATCTTTTGATAAGGTGAGTAGTTTTGAAACTGATTCCTTTATGTATTTGTGGCTTAATTGTTGAATTTGGATTTCGAAGACGTTATATTGTTTTAAACAGCAGATAAGCTGTTACTGTTTCGAATCTGTTTCTGGGTAAAAAGGATGCAGATTAATGTTGTAAACAGTTTGGTTTATGATTCTGTTTTTGAGGATCTAAGTGAGTTTTAAACTACTGTTGAGTATAAACTGTGAGTTTTCTTTTAAAACTACCTTTGTTTATAAACTGTTAGTTTTATTGTTGATTATATGCTATGAGTTTTGATGTTGGTTTTGAAGAAAAGATGGTAAAACTATTTTGATAGTTTTAAAGGTTTTACTGTTATTGTTCGAAAGAGAAAGAAGAGTTTGCTTCTTTAAATCAATTTTGGAAATGATATCCTATTTTGAGAATTTAAAAGAAACCTTGATGTTTTGGAAGTCTTTGAAAGACGAGGTTGTTCTTGAGTTTGAAAAGGTTTTTATGGATAAAATTATGAATGAGGATTCGATAAGATGGTTGTGACTGCGGTCCTTCATCCGAACTAGTTCATAGATTTTGAAGAAAAAATAAGGGTGGCATATCAAGGAGAGGTGTCTTTTGGAATTAGGGTGGCATATCAAGGAGAGGTGTCTTTTGGAATAAGGGTGGCATATCAGGGAGAGGTGTACCTTTGGATGTAAGGGTGGCAATTGTATGTGAATATTATAGCTCTTGCTATTATGTCATTTAAGACTACAATAGATTTGAGTCCTTACTTCTTTGTGATTTGAGAACTCAAAAATATTGTTCTTATTAGAAATAATGGTATTGATGCTATTGAGAAGGGGAAAACTTGGCCTATGGCCATTGGTATTGGTTAAAAGTGTTTTGAAACAGAATGGTTGTTTTCATGAGGAATCAGAGAGGCTCTGGTTGTTCCTTGTAAGGAACCAAAGAGGCTCTGGTTGGTCCTCATCATTGGACCAGAGGATTTTAGTTATTGATTTGAAGGATGAACAAGTTTTTACTAAAATGTATTAAATGGATTAGAGGTGTTGTATCTTTTGTTAAGTGTTTTCACGTCAAAATCATATTTTAAATGTTTAAGAAAAGAATTTTATACTTAGAATCTTTTTATGAAAAACAGACCAGAGGAGCTCTGGTTGACTTACACGTTGACTTACACGTTGAACCAGAGGGACTCTGGTTGGGCATGTCTTTTGAACCAGAAGCTCTGGTTAGTACAACCAGAGGCTCTTGTCGAACATGAACTTTTTATAACTGTTTGTTTTATGAAAAAGGCTATCTTATTGATTGAGAGTTTATCTAAAGATCATTTATATGAGTGAAGTTTTGGTTAGTACAACCAGAGGCTCTGGTCGTGAAGAGCAGAAGCTCTGGAAGAGATACCAGAGGGGCTCTGGTCCTGTGTTGAAATATATTATGGTTTGAAACCAGAGGCTCTGGTCATGAACACCAGAAGCTCTGGAAGAGAGACCAGAGAGGCTCTGGTCTTAGGTCTTGAAAAGGATTTGAAATATGTTCTAAGTCTGGTTGGTTCAACCAGAGGCTCTTGTCGTGAAAACCAGAAGCTCTGGAAGAGAGACCAAAGGGGCTCTAGTCCTAAATGTCGAATTATATTCTAAGTGTGGTGTGAAACCAGCGGCTCTGGTTGTGAAGACCAGAAGCTCTGGAAGAGAGACCAGAGGGGCTCTGGTCCTGAATGTCGAAATATTTTCTAAGTCTGGATAGTTAAACCAGAGGCTCTGGTCGAGGAACCAGAATCTCTGGAAGAGAGACCAGAGGGGCTCTGGTCAAGAATGTTTAAAATATTTTCTAAGTGTTGTTTGAGACCAGAGGCCCGATGGACCAAAGCAGTATGCTTCATAAGATGTTTGATTTGAAATAAATGTTTTGGTGATCTTCACCCTACATTACATAGAAGGGAACCTCACTAGACATTCATGTCTAACCCTTATTTTTGTGTTTCCAAAATTATGTGTGCAGGTAATGATAAGGGAAAGAGTATTATGTGAATTACTTCCCTATATGCTTAGCTGTTTTTGGAAGCATAGATGATAGGATGCAAGAGCTTGTACTTTTGAAATTTTTGAGCTGTGCATTTTATATTATAGACTCTTGTATCGAGGACCTATGTGAGGAAAACATGTATTATATATATGAAATATGTGTTATATGCAATGTGTGGATTTGGGGTGTTACAGAAGAGGTGGTTGTTTATATATATTGCATAGATAGTCCTCCAAGTATGTAATATTTGCTCCGCTACCCCTGATCTTCTCCCAATAGTGAGGGCCAACCCTTTGACTTGTAACATGAACTTTCTCTTTATGACAGGTTCAGTCCTGCAACTTATATCTGCCAATATTCAAAAGTAAAGATTGTTAATTCAAAGTTATCTTTTAACAACCTCCCTCAATCTTGACTTTTGAATAAATCAATCATTCGTAACTTAGAACATAAGTAGTTATGATGATTAACTCCAACTGCTTTTGTAAACATGTTAGCAGATTGTTCTGAGGAAAGGATTTTTTTCAACTTTTAACAAACCTTTACCAATAGTTTCACGAATATAATGAACATCAACTTCAATATGTTTACTACGTTCGTGAAATACAGGATTGTTAGCAATTTGAATAGCAGACTTATTATCGAACTGGTAATAAACCTGAAACATTAAGATTTGTGAGAATTTTTAAAATCCACAAGACTTCAATCATGGCAGAAGCCATAATTCTATATTCGGATTAAGCAGAAGAGCGAGAAACAGTATTTTGTTTCTTACTCTTCCAAGAAACCATAGAACTACCTAAAAATAAGCAAAAACCTGTCATTAAACGTCTAGAGGATAAGCATTTTCCCTAGTTTGCATCAACAAAGGCTGTTAGCAGGAAACTTTCTGATCTAGTAAAATTTACACCTTTACCAGGAGAAAGTTTTAAGTATCTCAGAATTCTAAACGCGAGCTTCAAATGAGATTGTCTAGGAGAATGCATAAATTGACTAAGACAATGAACAACGAAAGCAATGTCAGGTCTAGTAGCAAGTAAATATATTAACCTTCCAATCAATCTTTGAAAACCAGTATGATTTGTTAAAGGAGGACCTTTGGTATTGCAAGAATCAATAACAATCAAATTCATATCCATTGGAGTATTGCAGCGTTTAGGCCCTAAATACCCAAAATCATTGAGCAATTCCAAACAGTACTTTCTGTGAGACATACAAATGCCACTATCACATTCCAAAATTTCTATACCTAAAAAGAATTTCAGTTTCCCTAAATCTTTTATAAGAAATTTACTTTTCAAAAAATCTTTTACCTGTTTAACTTCAGAAATACATTTTCATGTAATAACTATATCATCCACATATATCAAAAGAACGATAAACACAAATTCTATGTTCTTGGTAAATAGAGATTAATCATTAATACTTTGAACAAAACCATGCTCAAACTAACAGGAAGACAATTTAGCATACCATTGACGTGGAGCCTGTTTTAAACCATATAAAGACTTAATTAGTTTACATACACGTTTATCTTTTGAATTATAATAACCTTCAGGCAAGGTCATGTAAACTCCATATAAAAAGGCATTGTTAACATTTAATTGATACAGAGTCCATTTACTTTGGACAGCTAAGGCAATGAAACATCTAACAGTTACCATTTTAACCACAGGAGACAAAGTTTCTTCATAATCCAAACCTTCTCTTTGACTATAGCCCTTAGCTACAAGCCTAGCCTTATACATTTCAATTTCTCCAGTAGATTTATACTTGGTCTTATAAATCCACTTACAACCTATAAGTTTTCTACCTGGTGGCAAATAAGTAATAGTCCATGTTCCATTTCTATGTAATGTTTCCATTTCATTATTCATGGCATTTAACCCGTTAG